ACAAGTATAGCGTAAATTACGCAGAAATGGCCCGGCCATTATCCAATCTCCTTAAAAAAGAATGCGGAATGGCGTTGGAACACCGAACACCAGGAGGCTTTTGACGGGGCCACAGACAGCCTTCTGCATGCACCAATACGGGCACTGCCAGACCCTGATCATCCTTTCAGCGTCGTCTGTGACGCTTCGGACTTTTATCGGCTGTGCACTGCTGCAAGCAGATGCCGAGGGACGAGATCGGGTGATCGCGTTCGAATCTCGACAGCTCAAAGCTGCAGAAAAGAGCTACCCAGTTTACGACAAGGAGCTACTTGCGATGAAGTATGCACTTGTCAAGTTCAGGGTCCACCTGCTCGGCTCCAAGCCTTTTGTGATCTATACGGATCGTGCGTAACTACGCAATTCGACTCAGTCGCCCCATCACTCGCAGAGGATGGCTAGATGGGTATCCTTCTTTGCGGAGTATAACTTCGAGGTGAAGTATAAGCCGGGAAAGCAGAATGCTTTGGCTGATGGGTTGTCGTGCAGACCAGACTATGAGCTTGCTCATGTTGCAACTGTAACGTCGTCTGTGATCGATTTGATCTGCACCGCGTATGCGGGTGATGGGATGTGTGTAGCGTTGCTACGGGCTCTAGGGAGTAAGGAATTTGGAAACTCGGACAAGAAAGTGTCATTAAGATTGCGTGCACGATTGCACCGACATTCGTTGAGTAACGGCTTGCTATATTATAGCACCGATTTAAACGGATACACCACGAATTGTGGTTCTTCATAATGAGGATTTGAAATTATTGCATCCTCTATGAGGCTCACGACACACTACTCAGTGGTCATCTCGGTCGTGAGAAAACGTACAACTCTGTGAGTCACCAAGTTTTACAAATGGACGAGCACTTATATGCGCACGTGTGAGACCTGTCGACGGATGAAAGCCGCTTCAAATGCGGCTGCGCCGCTCGCCAGCTTACCGGTATCACTTGGTGCTGGCAGTCTATGAGCTTAGACTTCGTGTCTGACCTGCCGAGAGATTCGGCAGGCAACACGGGTGTCGTGGTGGTCGTCGACCGGTTGAGCAAGATGGCATTTGGCGGCGGTGCCAGACACCAATGACGGAGTCGGTACAGCAACGCTGTTCGTGAATCGTGTTCTTCGTCAACACGGACTCCCAGAGTCGATTGTCGCTGATAGAGACCCCCGTTTCACATGAAAATTCTGGTCGGCTATCTTCAAGGTGCTAGGAACCAAGTTGGATATGGCGACAGAGGATCATCCGTAGACCGACTATCAAATCAAAAGGGTGAATCGCGTCATCGAAGACGTAT